TAATAATATATATATATATTTTATATTATATAAATTTTATATAAAAATATATTTTAAATAATTAAAAGGGCCATCGAAAATTTTTTTAAACATTAATTTTTTTTCCTAGGGTTACTTATTTAATATTTATTTTAAATGGGTTTTTGGGGAGGGATTTTCGTTGAATCTATCCCATTAACTCTGGTTAGCACAATTTTGTGATTAAAATTTAATTCCAGCTTTTTAATTTAAATTTGGGGTAAAATTTGAAAAAATTTTTTGGGTGAACTTTTACACTTATGAGGAGCTATGGAAGATTTCTTTCCCGTCTCCCTAAGCAATTTTAAATGGGCTACACATAATGGAAGTTTTGTAATACATTGTTTGATGGGGGAAAATATGTAATTTTAAAAAAACTTGAAGAAGTAATTTTGTTTCCAAAACCCTTTTGCAATTTTTTTTTTCAAGTAACCGCATAAAATTGGGGAAAAAAGTGGGGGTTTTTTTTCCAAAAAGGTTTGCCATAACAACAATTTTGTTTTAAGTTCTGTTTGAGCAGCTATAGGGGAAATACATGTTTCTGAATAATAACTATTATAATCAGGGGAAAAATGGGTAAACCTGTAGGGGTCCCCTAAAAATGCAAGGGGGAAAGCAGCACTCAGGGTCGATCCAAAGAAATGGGCATAAGCTCACACACGCCTTGGAAACAGGGCCGTCACGGGCATCAAATTTTAGAAAAAAGGGAGTATTAGGACAGAATTAGTTTTTCCAAAACAACCCCTTTTGGGCACACTCTGCGGGGGATACACAAGACACTTATTTTTTATTATATTTTTTTTAAAACAGGTTTAAAAACAACCCCCTTAAAACAGTACATACTTTTAAAATTTTTGGGTTTAAAAGGGTATAATAAAAATACAACTGCCAAACTGCGGAGTGAAAAGGGCCTCCTGACCACCCACCAAAACTTAAAAAAACTGAGACATAATGGAGAAATTTAAAACATGTATTTTAACGAAAAACGTAATAACACGAATTTCAGGCAAATCAGGGACCGGGGGGGACTTTAACCCAAGACAAATGAGTTTCCCAAAACCCCACAGGTCCCGGGGTTTTGCCCCACCCCTTCCCTGATTTAATTTTTTGGGGGACGAACCTATAACAATTTTAAACCCTTTCCTTTTTACGCTCCCCGTAAAACCCCCTGGAGACACAAACCAGGAGATTTTTTGATCCGTATATTTTTGACCCATTGTGGGAAAATTTTTAAAACAATTTTCCCAAAAAGAACATATAAAAAAAAAATTAATAATTGTGTATTAAAAGTGGGTGCTATTTGGACCCCCAGAATTTTTAAGTGTAGGGGGGGTAGGAAGAGCCGGGGAGTGGGCTCGGACGGGGGGCCCCTTTTTGAATTTAATTTTTGGGGGGCACTGGACTTAATTGTGCAATGTAATTCGGCGTCTTTCAAGGCCAAATTGGAGTATTACGGCCTGGATTTATAATCAGGAACCTGTGGTAATGTCCCCTGCTGAATAATTGGGACAGGAAATTTACAGGACCTCAAGAATTGCGTGTGGAGGATGGGAAAATAAGAGGACTATGAATCCTCCACAACAACACATTTTTAGCTAAGTGATGCTTGCCCATAATGTTCAGTAGTTTTTTGCGTTGGCTATTGTAAATCCTATCTGCTAGGGCAGTGGTAGGGTGTGTTCCATCAGCATTGTCTTCCAGTAATGAAATTATAAGTGTTAATACCAATTATATTTTGTGTATCCAGTCGACACAACTTTAATTAGCAGAGTAGCTGGTTTTAATATTATAATTATTAATTTAATGTCAGGTCTAGTTTTTTGTGAGAGTGCTGAGGAAGTGGGCAGCCTAGGGAGTGACAGTTCAGTGACCTACTATGATTAAGTCCCACTTACCTCACCCAAATTACTTACAGGTAATAATTCAGGTAATACTCTGTAAGTCTCCTGCAGGTAATTTACTCATATAATAATGATAATAATAATAATAATAATAATAATAATATTCACACCCCTTTTGGGGGGTTATTATTGAGCAATGGCAACTGTTCGTTACACTTTAGTTATTGACCTTCAACTCTATATAAATCCGAACTAGCTCTTCCTTCATCGCAACATAAATACAACATACAAAGATATGGAACAACACATAACCATATGTGAGAGACGTGTCTCACCAATCTCCCGTCCGTGTTCTACCTTAATGTTTGCATTAATTTTTTAATTTGCTGAATTTTCCCCAGTACAACCTGTTCCCGTAGCTCGATCGCTAGCGCACTCGGCTCACACACTGAGGTCCGGAGTTCGAATCCCAGGTACGGCTGAAAAACAATAAGATGTGTTTCCATAAGACACCTGCTGTCCATGTTCACCCATCAGTAAAATGGGTACCTGGGTATTAGTCGACTGGTGTGGGTCGCATCCTGGGACAAAATTGACCTAATTTGCCCGAAATGCTCTGCATAACAAGTGGCTTTCTATATAGTAGTATGTCACTGATGTCAGCTAGACCTGTATACCTTGTACATGTACTTGAAGAAATAAAGATATATTATTATTATTGTTGTTGTTGCTATAAAGTGATCAAAACTTGCCCAGGCAGCCCACTGACTACCTTCCACTACCTCAGTTAAAACTTTGACTCCCGTTCTTGAGAGATGAATGACATCTCTTATATACATGACACCTTTATCGAAAATGGTGTCTTATCACTGATGTTCATCTGATATTCATCACAGCAACTCAAAAGCATCGAGTAATATACACAGAGAGGTGTATACACAGAGAGGTGTGTATCTCTGTATATGCATGGAGAATTGATTTCAGTCGTACAGAGACTGATTCATATAAATTATCCCGGAGTTTACTAATTAAAGCTACAGTGTATATACATAGGTGTGCGTACACGTATATACGCTGAAGATTTTCTTTAATCCTTATTTAAGGTATACTACATTTTAGTCTTCATGGGGAGGTTCTTAGAAGCGGGGGCCCCCTTGATCAAAGGGAACTGCCCTTTGAACGAGCCTGAAGATTTTCATTCCCCCAAAGGGATTGTATGGCCATCTGCGGGTTTTAGCATTTCCATTAAATGTAATAATAAAAAAAAAATAAATTAAAAATTTCATTTTAATGTCAAAATTTAATTAAGGTCTTAATGACGGGTTTTGCAACAGTAATAGATTAAGTAAGTAAGTTTTTTCAGGATACAAAAATACATACAAAAATTAATACATGCACATAGTGTAAAAAACCTAGGAAAACCCAAAAAAAGTCAACAGAGTGACTTATTCCTGGGGTCCTTTTACCTTATTATTATAAAATAAAGGTTATAATTTTTCTTAATTCTACAATGAAAAACACTTATTATCATACAAAAAGACTACTACTACCCAAGGTCATTAAACTATCTACAATAGGGGGTCAAACAGGATATGGTAAAATTTACCGTTTGTTACTAAAAAATAGAAAATCATTCCCCTCCCTTTCTGTAGCTACTTTCATCAAAACCTTTTGGCACTCTTCTTAAACTGGTTCAGCATGATGGCTTTGACATGTGCGGGCACTTTTCCCTTTCCCTTTTATTGCTGTACAGAAAAGGTGTTTGAAGCCGGGCCACTGACTGTGGGTACACAAAGTTGTCTCTCCCCCCTAGTACTATATTTTTTGGGTTCCCAAACCTTGAAAAAATTTGACACAAATATTCTGGACTTGTGAGCAATTTTTTTAACTATTTAGCTTCATTGTTTTACCTGTCTTTAACATTCAGCATATCCACTGCTGTAAAAATTTTCCTGGCCTACAGTTTTCTTGGGCCCAGCCCCCGGAGAAACTTACGATTTTTTTTCTGGTGATTTGCAGTCTAACTTTCAGTTTTTTTGTCAAGGCAATGCCAAGAAGAGCAACGTAAAACTATGGGAAAAGTATAAGGGCAGACATAGGGGGCCGCACCTCAGAGGTAGACCGTGCTTGTCTAAAAACAGGGAAATTTATCTGGCTTCGCTTTCTTTACTACCGTTCCTACAATTCTCCTACAAAGCAGGGTCAAAGGGGGTTCCCCCAAAAATTTTACGATGAAACCAAAGGATGGGGCCCCCCTTACATTAACATTAAAATTATTTACCCTTCTCATTTTTGTTTCGTGCCCCAAAAAAAAAGGCTTTGTTTTCCCCAGGGGTAAGATAGTTTGTTGTCTACTAACCATTTTCTGCAGGGGTCCATTTTCCCGTGTTAAAAAATTACAAATCTTGTGGGTCTTTACCTGACACTAACAGACACTGTCACTGCATACAGAAGGAGTTTGCACTTGAACGATAGGGAATTTATTTCATAACAAAGAATAATAAGGGCCCAGAATACTACCTTGGGGGAACTCCCATGTTATCGCAGGGGGTTTTGTTCTGTTTTTTTTTATTTGACTATTGCTCCGTTCTAAGGTAGGACTTAAACCATCTACGAACCTATACCGAACTTGAAGTTTATTACATAATATATTTGGTTGACAGTATCGAAACCTTTTTCAGGTCTAAGGTTCCATACCATGAGGTTTTCCCCTTTTACATTTTTAGTTCTCAGGTAATCCATCAATTAAAAAAGGGGGGTGTCGGTTTAGTGGATCTTAAACCCGATGATAGCAAGGGAAAGGTTGTTGTCATTAAGGTACTTTAAATACTTGAAAATACTTAAGAACAAAAAACTCAAATACCTAGAACTCGTTTAAAAAACTGCCTTTAAAACTAAGAGTTTTCCCCCGTAAAGTTTTCCGTATTTCTAAGCGTGGTTAGGCTGACGTTTTGGGTCTTCTGTTTTGGGAAAAAAAAAAACACACATTTTAAAATAGCTGGTGAAATGAAGGACGGCGTTCCGTCAAAAACAAGAGGGCGATGATAACGCAGTGACGCATTTATGACGGTTTATGACGTTGTGGGTGTCATTTGCTGAACACAAGTCTTACTCGACGTATAATGGCGTGTAAGACGTTGGCTTTTGGATTGGTTGAGTACAAGGTCTTTCCGTCGTGTCTGCCAGGGAGGTTCTCTGCTGTTTGTGTCTCACAACACGTCCAGCTCCTCGCTCATCCACACAGGTTTTCCTTCTTGTGAGTGCTGTCGCGTTTCGTGTTAGTGATCTCAAGTTATTTGCATTTAACAATGAAACCTGTATATTCGTGTATGTTATATTAAAAAGAAACAGAATTTGGGATGACAGTGAGTGTGTATCCAGTACTCTGGAATGTGAACAATTTATGACTAGTATGAAGCTAAGCGATTATCGTGATAATAAAAATAGTGACTAACTTATTTTTAAAGTGAAGTAACTTAGAAATTATAATTGTACGTCGGTTTTGAACAACGACTGACATACTAAATTTAATTACCGAGTTCCCTGCGACTTGTTTGGGAAATTTTACAGCATTTTTTCTAATTTAAATTGGCATGGTATACATTACAGTACTTGCGAGTGGTTTTTTATCCTTGCTTTGGATATAGACACGCTATGTTGAATGGTATTTCCTCATCTTAAACTTTATTCCAAAAGATAAAATTATAATTTAAATTGCACAGGGTAAGCGTGTTTTATTTTTTTTTTTTTTGCAATTTACCTGGGTAATTTTAATTACTGTGGTAGTGAATACAAACGTACGTTTTAAAGAGCCTGCGATGGACAGTCACATGGTGGGTTATTTGCAATTTTTTCCTAATTGTTCGAAGAGTATTTGCAAATTATCATAGAGGTGGGGATAAAGAAACCCATAGTTTTGCAGCACCCGGGAAATGGGAGGTAATTAGGCCTGATTGTAGGAAGATGGGTAGCTTTTTGGATACAGATCTCCACTTCGTTCAAGGGTTTGTGAGTTTTAAATCAAATGCAGAAGTTTGCGTTAGGAAGCTTTAGCGCTTTGTACATTAATGGTTTGTTCCTTCTAGGGAGTTGCCTTGATAACAGCGAGAGGCTCGTGATCTATCAATTTCCTTGATCGAACCTGATTATCACATTCTCCCGGGACAGCAATAAACCCTTACGGGTTTATTGCTGTCCCCATTAACGCAGTAAATCAAAGTGGTGTCTGCACCGTTCTAGTGGCGCGGCACCAACAAGGACTTACGAAAACCTTGGAGTAACGCTTAGTTTGGCAAGTAACCAGAAATATTGGGTTCCTTTTTGTTGTATAGCGTTTATGAAGTCACAGCAGAGACTTTCACTGTTAACTTTAAAAGCATGGTTTATTTAAAGAATTTATAAAACCTGGTGTTTATAATGGAAGACCTCGGGTGTGTTTTTTCGCAATACATTGCAGAATGTTTTACAGAGTTATTGTGAATGCAGCCATGAGTAGGTGAATGGAAAATTTCCCGTGCATTCACGTGGTCTCTTCACAGGTGAGTGAACATCACCTTCCCCTGCCCTCCCTAGCAGTGGTTGGTTTAGCGCTTTCTTTGATTATAATAACCTCTACCCACTGCTAGGGATTATCTCCTCTCCACAGTTTTTGTTACGGTCTTGTGTGCGTGTCTGCCCTTATCGACTTTTTTTTATATAACTTATTGGGTTTTAGTTGAATTTGTATAACATTTAAAATATTTTTAAGCTTCGTCTAGTCAATTTAACTTAATTTTAATAAAAATACATTAAGAAGATTGAAAATAGTTGATAAGGAATGTTCAATATACATTAAATATTTATCTGCTAGTGTACCTGGTAGTTTGTGGTATGGTGAAGACTTTTTTTTTTTTTTTATAGATTTCCCAAACGAAATGATTAGAGGCTTAGACTAATTAGCTAGGTGTCTTAACGTGGCCTGGGCGCACGTTTTTGTCAAAATGCATGTGTCCAGTAACTGTATAGTAGTGTAACTAATACTCCTTTCGGAGGGTGCTATTTTTAATAGGGTTATATAGGTGATGTATTCAGGTTAGCGTCAATATTAGAATAAAAAAGCCCGAGGCCTGAAGCAGCGGTGACTTGTAATGTTGTGGCCTCAACCTTTGCCAAAAATATTATTTTTTTTCCTTGAAGTAGAAACCAGATTTATTTTGTGGTGGTAAGCAATTCCATTTTCAAGTTTAGTTTTAAAGTAAATATTCTTTCGTTTTTTGATTATCTTGAATTTTCTTTAAAGCGTTTAGCATAAGTTTTAAGTAATTTTTTTTTTTTGATAAAATCTGCTTTAGCACAGCGTTAAACTTGAAATAATGTTGACCCGTGATTGCAGTAACATACCTGGAGTTTACCTGGAGAGAGTTCCGGGGGTCAACACCCCCGCAGCCCGGTCTGTGACCAGGCCTCCTGGTGGATCAGAGCCTGATCAACCAGGCTGTTACATCTACATTAAAGTTTGATTATTAAACGAATGACATTAATTGTGAAGTAACTTTGAAATCATAATTTCCCTAATCTTCATTTGGATAAACCTAATTGAAATACTAAAAAGATTTTGTATATGGTTTTATACATGGTAGATTTATTAATCAGTTGCAGTTGCTATAATCTTTTTCTAAAGCTTTGCAGTTGCTATAATCTTTTTCTAAAGCTTTGCAGTTGCTATAATCTTTTTCTAAAGCTTTAATTAGCTTCCACCTTATTTTTTTTCCCCTTCACCTCTCCTCCCCCCCATTGCCACATTCATCTCCCTCTCTCCCCTAAAAAAAACTTCACTCAGTGCTACACTGACGTGTTAGATGCAAAAAAGTAACGCATAAGTAGGTAATTTGCAAACTATTTTTAATGATTAGTACAGTGTTTTTATCGTTAACCTCAAATGATTAAAATATTTTTAAGCCCTATTTTTATTAATGTATTTAAGTGGAAGATCTAAATCCGTAGGAGTTTAGCGCTTCCACCTGTGGGAATGGGAAGCAAAAAGTTGAGTCTAAAGAGTAGAACATTACTTGCCTGAAGATCCATCACCGGTGAACCTCACTTCATTTTTTTTTTTTAAATTTTCAATATAGTTCGAGACTGCACAGGAGAAAAGATGTTAACATAGCTATTAGGATGTTTAACATATGCTGATTTTAAAGTCCGTCAGTCTGTGTTCGAGGCGGAAATCTTTAACGATATGAAGCCGGGGAGGGTGGGGGGGTCATGGGCCCATTGGTCTTTACCCTTAATCCCTCCCCCCCCTTTCATGATACCTGGAGTTAATTACCACTAACTTGTTCAGCTATCAAAACTTTAGGGCCCAGTCCCTGGACCCACTAAGTGCCTCTGAACTTTTGACTACCGCCCACAGGTTGGGTATAAGGTGCATAGATATTAAACTAAACCCTTTTCCCGGATTAACCCTGAATAAAATTTAACATGTATTACATAGTGAACTATAGTGGATCCCCGAATTTTGTCGACACCTCGCCTATTTTAAACTTTGTGACCTTTTATATTTAAAATTTTTTAATTGTGCCGTATTTAAATAAAATTTCCTATCTTGTTTTTGCGCATTATCAAATTTAATTGTTAACGTCCGTGGTAGTTAACTGTGTGAGAGAATAAGCCTTTGTTGCAGCTCTCAGGTCAACACTTGTAAAGGCACCGAGAGCGACTGTGGCAACATTTACTTATTAGTGATAAATTACTCGGGTTTAAAAAATGGGTCACAATACCGTGACTGGAGCAGTCAACAGATAACCCGCACATAGGAGGAAGTAACTTGACAACGTTTCGGTCAGACTTGTGACCATTAACTAGTTACACGTAACTGTGTGACTAGTTAGTTTCAAGTCGGACCGAAACGTAGTGACAAGTTTTTCTCATGTGCGGGTTATTGTGTATTGCTCTGGTTTAGCGGTTCCTAACTTTTAAAATAAGCGCTTTAAAATACTCTGTTAATACTGCTCACATTGCACAACACTAAATTTAACTATTTTATTTTAAATTCTTATATACATCTTGAGTGAGTGAAAGCTGTGAACGATGGAGCGGAGCCGCAGCCTGATAAAGGCCGTCCGGTTATGACCCGTCCTCTTGAAACTCTTATTTCTTAAATAAGATTTAAAGATAATGTCTCGACGTTATTTAGGGTTGGTTAGTTTGTGTAAGGAAAATACAACCAGTGTACCATAGGTTTTAATAAATCCCGTAGGCTACGATACACAGTCGAATAATCACTTTATCACTTTGTAATTCCACTGTTGCACATATGTGATTTGATGACGTTAAGAAGGGTTAGGAAGGTTTTTTTTTTTTCCTCTTGGGATGGGAGGAAGGTAGGCTAGTTGGATGAAACTAGTCACTTTTGTATATACAACATTACTTCATACATACAGACAAATCTTAGACACAAGTGTGCCTGACAGTAGGAATTCGACGCACCTACACCAAACTACCACATTACAAAAATGAATATTGGATAAGGTAACAAACACCAGAGGAACACTAACGAAGTGGAACAGTTTTATAAAAATGAGACACAAGACAGGGTATAGCAGACACGACCATAGACCACCTTGAGCCTCTTTTATATTAGAGATTTTGCCACCGAAGTGGCTAGTTTATTGTGCACCCCATATCCATCCTGTGGATGGTAGCGCAAGAGCATATGGATACACAAAAGGCCTAGGAACTAGGCCCCAAAAGGGTTAACAGATGTACATATGGGTTTATATCTACATATCTACAGTTCACTTATCTGTTACAAGTAAATTTATGAAATTTACTTAGTATATCTGGTATCTTATTTTTCATTAATAAGATCTTGACATGTCACATAGGTTATTATACTGTCTGTATTCCTCAGTAAGTGGACAATTAAGCACATAGTGTTCAAGACAGTGACCATATGCCTGATCACATAATTTGCATTTAGTTTGATCATCTGTGTTTCTCCCAAACTGCCAGAAGTACTTGTAACCAAGCCTAAGCCTGGCCACTACAACATCAGGCAGTCTGTTCACATTGCACGTTGCTCCATAAACATATCTATGTTCATGTTATCATAGTGGGTTATAGATCTACTCAGGCTTCTAACTGCATTCCTATAACAATCATTTACATTTTTTACTTCTCTCCTAATATTATTCCTAATGCTAGACACATATACCAAAAGTTATATTCTACATTCTCCTTCTGGGTACTCTTCTTGGCTAACATATCAACTTTATC